AATTGGGGGGTATCGTTGTAGGGTTAAGGCCCTAAACCCGACATCCACAACTCTAAACACATAAGCCCTAAGTTTCGGAAACCCCGAGCCCCCAGTTGTCGCGTTCAAAAGGCACCAGAAATTCCCGCGTAGGTTGTGGGACGCGAGGTTGCGAGGTTTCCCACACCTCTTTTGCCAACCCATCGCACCTAAAAGAAGATTCATGGGGTTTAGGGTTGGGGGGTAAGGTTTAGGTGATTCTGCGATGAGAGGCGTCACGTGCCTCATGGTGTCTTCTTGGTAGCCCAGAAACCATACTATGGTACCCTTTTCTGGGTTGGTTACTTTATAATGGAACCCTAAACCCTAAACCCTCAACCCTAAACCCTAAACCCTAAACCCTAAACCCTAAACCCTAAACCCTAAACCCTGAACCAACAAAAGGGAAAGCTGTACCACTGGGCTGCCAAGGTGTTGTTGTCAAGCCGACGGGGCCTTCTGCCCTCCTTGAAGATGGGGAGGATGCCAGACTTAGGGTTTAGGGTTTAGGGTTTAGGGTTTAGGGTTTAGGGTTTAGGGTTTAGGGTTTAGGGTTTAGGGTTTAGGGTTACGGAGCACGTGTTGAGGTGCAGAGGTTCCATGATCAGTTTGTGATCCAGGATAGGGTTTAGGGTTTAGGGTTCATAGGGTTTAGGGTTCATAGGGTTTAGGGTTCATAGTTTTTAGAGTTTAGGGTTCAGGGTTCAGGGCTTAGGGTTAGGGTTTAGGGTTTAGGGTTTCGGGTTTGGGGCTGTAGGGTTTTAGGGTTTACGGTTTAGGGAAAACCCCATATTTCCCCTCGAAACCCATGGAAACCCAAAGACTTCACCAAAAACGACCATCAACCCCAGCCACATGCATCCCAAGAAAGAGGACTACAAGGCTTGGATACCGAAAGCATAAACCCTAAACCCTAAACCCTAAACCCTGAACCCTAAACCCTAAACCCTCAACCCCCAAATCTCCTGCCCCCTGAACCTGGTGCTTGCCGGCTTGCCGGTGAAACTTTGAACCCTCGGTGGTGTATATATCCGACTCCTTCCTTCCTCTACAATTTGCCCTTAAGAGCCCGGTTTAGGGTTTAGGGTGTAGGGTTTAGGGTTTAGGGTTTACTTAAGCCTGTACCCCATCTTGAACCGCCAAGTAGGCCCGTATGCTCCCTCCCCACCTCTCTCAGAAACGGGTGCAAAGTGCCTTGCGCAACCGCCACCTTTCAGTGAGATGGCTCTTGTCCATCGTGCGGTGCACCGGAGCAGCTCCTAAACCCTAAACCCTAAACCCTTAACCCTAAACCCTAAACTCTAAACCCTAAACCCTCAACCCTCAACCCTAAACCCTCAACCCTCAACCCTCAACCCTAAACCCTAAACCCTCAACCCTCAACCCTAAACCCTAAACCCTCAACCCTCAACCCTCAACCCTAAACCCTAAACCCTAAACCCTCAACCCTCAACCCTAAACCCTCAACCCTCAACCCTCAACCCTAAACCCTAAACCCTAAACCCTCAACCCTCAACCCTCAACCCTCGTTTCGAAGCTAGGAAGCTGGAAAAGCACCGCAAGGCAGCACGGAACTTGGACAGCTGTGACTCAGCGGCGCTAGGCTGGAAGAGACGGCTTCGCACTCTCAAGTGGGGGTTTAGGGTTTAGGGTTTAGGGTTTAGGGTTTAGGGTTTAGGGTTTAGGGTTTAGGTTATAGGGCTCATACCCTCGCATGGATATATATATATATATATATATGTATCAAGGTCGCCGAGCTCTTTCCACCTGAGACCTGAGGAGTCACGCGCGAAACTTCATGAGAACCATGAGACAAACCTAGGCTGGCCCCTTAAACCTCCGAAAACGTTCCAAAAAACGATCCTCTTGAACCAGTAAGGGTCTAGGGTTTAGGGTTTAGGGTTTAGGGTTTAGGGTTTAGGGTTTAGGGTTTAGGGTTTAGGGTTTAGGGTTTAGGGTAGGGTTTAGGGTTTAGGGATCCTCTGAAACCGGGAAGGGCCTACCTATGCACAACTGTTAGAAATCCAAGCGAAGCCAGTGAGTACGGGGCATCGACCATCCCCGATCGTTTCTGTGATGGCCTTTGTGAACTAGGAAGAGTTTATTGAGGTCCCGATGAGGTCCCGAAACCCTACCCTAAACCCTAAACCCTAAACCCTAAACCCTAAACCCTAAACTCTAAACTCTAAACCTTAAACCCAAACCCTAAACCCGGGTTTAGGGCACGGCGGAAGAGTGTCGAGGCTCGAGCCGAGCCACGTACTCACTTGGAGCGATGTTGTGCAGAAGCTTCAGCAAACTCACAACTGCGGCACTTCAGCTGCTGCACGTGGGGGTTTCCGAAGATAAGGGGTACCTTCTTGATTAGGGTTTAGGGTTTAGGGTTTAGGGTTTAGGGTTTAGGGTTTAGGGTTTAGGCTTTAGGGTTTAGGGGTACATTCTTGGTTTCCTTAGTATAAGGGAATCTGGGGGTCCATATTAAGGCGTCCCCCTATGTGCGTAAACCCCCCTACCGACATCTGCCCTAAAGGCTAATTAAACCTTTCCTTAAGAACCCAAACCCAAAATGTTTTTGTAGGCTCTTGTTATAGAACCACTTTTTAGGATTCCTGGAAAAGCCTGCCGAAAAAACAGGTTTTGGCTTCTTCAGGAACCCAAAACCCTAAACCCTTAAACCCTAAACCTCAATCCTCAACCCTTCAGCCCTTCAACCCTTGAACCCTTGAACCCTAAACCCTCAACCCTCAACCCTCAACCCTCAACCCTCAACCCTAAACCCTAAACCCTTGCGATGAACAACGCTAGGCAGTTCTTACATCGGTGCAGCGCTGGTCCGATAGGTGCTTGCGAGCGTGCGCCTGGTTTGAAGAATACCCAGGGTTTAGGGTTTAGGGTTCAGGGTTCAGGGTTTAGGGTTTAGGGTTTAGGGTTTAGGGTTTAGGATTTAGGGTTTAGGGAACCTTGAACCAAAAAAAGGCAAAGGGTACCTCTGGGCTTCCAAGACCCTAAACCCTAAACCCTAAACCCTAAACCCTAAACCCTAAACCCTACACTTTGGTCGAGTACTACGAAGGGGATCCTCTGGGAAGAACAGGCAGGTCACGAATCAAGCCTCTTGGCGGTCTCGGAGACCTTCATGGTCAAGACCAAGCAGCCCATACTGGGCGGGGGGATGATCTAATGGGTTTAAGGGTTTAGGGTTTAGGGTTTAGGTGTGGGTTCTCAACCCGAAACCTTAAACCCGAACCCTAAACCGTAAACTTAGTTGCTGAGTTCATAAAGCCCAGACAGAGAAGCACAGACACCCCAAGCCCTAAACCCTAAACCCTAAACCCTAAACCCTAAACCCTAAACCCTAAACCCTAAACCCTAATCATCCCCCGCCCGCTCATAGATGCTGCACTCCATTCCTTCGCATGCGCTTCGCTGCAGAACCCCAAGCTGGCCCATGCCAACCTTGGTCCTGCAACAGCAAAGAGGGCTTAGGATTTAGGATTTAGGGTTTAGGGTTTAGGGTTAAGGTTTAGGGTTAAGGCTTTAGGATGTAGGGTTTAGGGTTTAGGATGTAGGGGTTAGGGTTTAGGATTCAGGGTTCAGGACCTAGGATGTAGGGTCTAGGGCCCCTAGAGAAAGCGACACAGATGCCCCCACAGCAAAGGACATGGAAGCGGCTCATGCGCAGGGCTGATATGAACAGCCATCCTGCGGACCGGGAACTGAGGGAACAAGGCCAAAAAGGACCGAAAATGCTATCATACCAGCAAATTCTCGGCATGTGGACAAAGTCTGGCCCACATTGTCAGTCACAATCGGCTGCTGATCGAACTTCATGCTACCAGCACCACTATACTACACCCTCCCCGCCCCCCAACATGTTTCGCTCCCCCCAAAGCAGCGCCGATGCGACAACAATATGGGGAGGGCAAGTGGCCTGGCTACTGAGCCTCCCTGACAAAAAACCATAGACCCAAAACCCACCCTAAACCCTAAACCCTAAACCCTAAACCCTGAACCCTGAACCCTGAACCCTGAACCCTGAACCCTGAACCCTGAACCCTGAACCCTGAACCCTGAACCCTGAACCTTGACTAGCGTGTCTAGCGCCGTGCTTCAACAACCCGAGTGAACTCATCGGGTTCCAGCTCCACCTCCTGTTGGAACTGGTCCAGTTCCTCGGATGGCCCTTAAACAAAACTCTGAAAGATAGGGTTTAGGGTTTAGGGTTTAGGGTTTAGGGTTTAGGGTTTAGGGTTTAGGGTTTAGGGTTTAGGGTTTAGAGTTTAGGGTTTAGGGTTTAGGGTTTAGGGTTTAGGGTTTAGGGTTTAGGGTTTGCTGTAATAGGGCTTAGATGCTGTGAAGGTTAGGATGCAGCAGCGGCCCGAATGCTTCGGCAGGTGCGAAGAGCAGCTCTGGCCCGATTGTGGAGGGCCATCTAATACTTTTCTCCCACCCCACGCCGTCCGAGGCGGCAAAACCACCCAAACCTTTTCCTTTTAGGGTTGAGGCCTAAACTCATGACAATCACTTACTTTCAAAAAAAACTTTCCGTCACCGATGGCCACTTTCAAGGTTTGAGGCCAGGTAAGCACCCACCCTGCCTGGACCAGCTGAGGCCCCCTGGTCCCTGGATACGCCTGGTGAGGGCCGGGTCCTCCTGGCCTGGGGGCCTTGGGGTACCCCCCCCGAAACGGCCAGTCAGGGGACCACTTCTTCTGACTTGGCCATCGTGGGTGCTACCGACCTCCGGGCTGCAGGAGGTGGGCAAGCGACCTGGGTTAGAGGTCGAAGGGCTGAAGCGCCGCCCCCCCTCTGTAGGGGCGCGGCCTAGGCCCTGAGTTTAGGGTTTAGGGTTTAGGGGGTTTAGGGGGTTTAGGGTTTAGGGGGTTTAGGGTTTAGGGTTTAGGGTTTAGGGTTTAGGGTTTAGGGTTTAGGGTTTAGGGTTTAGGGTTTAGGGTTTAGGGCCTCCTTGAATACGTTCCTGCCTACCGAGGCTCAAGGAGATAGGCTTCCTGGAGCCGGCGATCCGGTGGCATGGACTGACCCTTCCGATAGCGTGTCCTTGCAGGGGGCTAGGGTTTAGGGTTTAGGGTTTAGGGTTTAGGGTTTAGGGTTTAGGGTTTAGGGTTTAGGGTTTAGGGTTTAGGGTTTTCAGGTTTAGGGTTTAGGGCTTTCAGGGTGGGTACAGTATAAGGGGTAGAAGGAGGGGGGCCCCCTCCTACAAGGGACACTTAAATTTGATTCCCCTACATACCCCCCCCCCCCCCCCTGTACGTGATATAGCCCCCAAGTACCGACGTAGCCCCTAAAGAACCCCCTAGTTGGGTTCATGGTACTTATTGACCAATTCGAACTGTACTTATAACTGTACTTACAAACATATTGGGGCACTTTAGGGGCTTAGAAGTGGGTTCTAAGTACAGTTTAAATTTGTTAAATAAGTACCATGAACCTCCAAGTAAGGTCCCTTTTTACGGGTCCCTCACCTAGTAAACCCTATAAACCCTAAACCGAAACCCTAAACCCTAAACCCTAAACCCTAAACCCTAAACCCTAAACCCTAAACCCTTGTGTCCTCCAGGTTGTCGAGTCCATCGAGGACCACACTGGCTTCATGTCTTCATCTTCATCAAATGGAAGAGCCTCGCCCAACCTTGGGAGGGCCCTTAAAAAAGGTCTGAAAGGTAGGGTTTAGGGTTTAGGGTTTAGGGTTTAGGGTTTAGGGTTTAGGGTTTAGGGTTTAGGGTTTAGGGTTTAGGGTTTAGGGTCTAGGTTTAGGGTTTAGGGTTTAGCTCACTACGATGCTCTGAACCCAAAACAATAAACGGGAACAAGTCCAGAAAATGTCCCTTGCGGGCCGGCCTAGCCTAAACCCTAACACCCTATACCCTAAACCCTAAACCCTAAACCCTAAACCCTAAGTCCAGAAATTGTCCCTAGCCGCTGCGCCGGAGGTGCGGTAGGTGCCAGGGACTCTTTCGGCTTGCCGGCGCTCCTCAAACCAAGCCTCTTCAGTTTAGGGTTTAGGGTTTAGGGTTTAGGGTTTAGGGTTTAGGGTTTAGGGTTTAGGGTTTAGGGTTTAGGGTTTAGGGTTTAGGGCCTCTCCGATGGTCGGTCTTTGATGAGATGCCGCTGCATGGCCTTGTACAGCTCTTCGCCTGAGGTAGCCCCGTAAGGGTCCATGCACGGGTTTAGGGTTTAGGGTTTAGGGTCTAGGGTTTCGGGTCTAGGGTTTAGGGCTAGGGTTTAGGGTACCTTGATAGTATATACCTGTGCCCTAAACCTACTATATATGGGAGCCTCTTCAAGGCCAAGGTATATACTATACAGGTGCGTGGACCCTCAAGCATTCTTAGGGAGGACCTTTACGCATTCAAGACTACTTGTCCTGTACTTTCAGGGACCTCATGTTTGCATCCTTGAGGGTTACTTGGCTGCACTTAGGAGGGTAGCTATAAATTAGATTTTTTACCTGCCTTATTAAGAAACCCAATAAACACAAAAAGGCTAAGGATCTAAAGTTACGGTAACGCCCCACAAAGCTTAGTAGCCTAATGAAGCCCCTGGAAGCATAAGGTTTTCGTACCAAAAAAAGCTCTAAACCCTAAACCCTAAATAAACCCTAAACCCAAACCCCACCAATTCGACCTCTACTCGTCAGCTTCGGCGCACGTTGGGACCACCCCTTTCAAGTACTCCTGCCGCAGACGCATCGCGGGATGCGCGTTGGCAGAACTTGCCCCGGATCCCATTCCTTGCGTCCTGGGATGCCGACCCTAAACTCGCTTGGAGGTTCAGGGTGCTTCGTCACCCTAAACCCGAACCCTTAAACCCTATACCCTAAACCCTGAGTAGTCACCAAATATAACTGCACTTAGAACCTTCTAGTGCCCGGTTGTAGTTTGGGTTATAGGGTGTAATTACTCTCTAGATAGTAGGTACCATGAACCTCCAAGCGAAGGACACCTCTGCATTTTGGGCACGGCAAGTCAACCACTGGAGCCAAAAGGGCTTTCAGAGGTTTCAGGGGGTTTCGGGTTTCGGGTTTAGGGTTTAGGGGTTAGTGTTGAGGTTTCAGGTTTCGGGTTTAGGGTTTAGACTTTGGCGTTTTGGGTTAAGGGTTTAAAGTTTAGGGTTTAGGGTTTATAATTAGGGGACACCATCTGGAAGGTACTGATGCCCAAAAAAGTTGAAGGTTTAGGAATTAGGGTTCCCTAAACCCTAAACCCGAAACTCGAAACCGCTTCAGAACACTGCGCGCTCCGAACGGTCTCGGTTGAGAACCTTGTGTACTTCAGGAAATCCTAGTTGCTGAGTTCAGAAGCCCCCCAAAGTGTACACTTTCAGTTCTATGGGGGGATTATAGTATCCCAAAAAGTGTAAGGTGTGCTCACTTAGCTACGAAAAATCTAGGCAGGCGGCGCAATATCAAGTAACTCCCTTCAAACCGCAACGCCCCGCCTAGACCCTAGAGAAACGGTAGGAAGGAAAAGGGTGCCCTTTTTGGATTACAGGGGTTTAGGGTTTATAGTTTAGGATAAGGGAACCTAAACACTACAAAAGGGGAATAAGGGCCTACTCTGGGCCCTAGCTGTTTGAGCCCGAAACCTGAACCCTATCAAACCTTACTGTCCCTGAACCCTAAGCGTAACCCCGCCCAGAAGCACTCTAAACCTAGACTCAGAAACCCTAAACTTTGAGCCCTAAACCCTAAACCCTAAACCCTAAACCCTAAACCCTAAACCCTAAACCCTAAACCCTAAACCCTAAACCCTAAACCCTAAACCCTAAACCCAAGGGAAGAGCCACCGGATTGAGCTCTGAGGACTGCTGCCGTGCTTGCTAGACGTGCTTGCGTTGTCGGTCGCAAGGCCTGGCAGAAAGCAAGTCTGCTTGTTTAGGGTTTGGAGTTTAGGGTTTAGGGTTTAGGGGTTTAGGGTTTAGGGTTAGTGTTGAAGCCTACTCCTGTACATGTCATCCTGTAGCAGTTGTACTATGTGTTTTTCCCAATGCTCTTGTAGGCCCAAGCCTTGAGCATGGCATCATTTCAAGTATGTACAGCATTTCACATAGTTGTAGGTGCCAAGCCTAACCAAGTAGCACAAACTTTACAGGTTCTTGTTTCTGCGTGTAAAATCTCCGCCTCAGTGTGCGCCATGGCAGGGTTGGGTTTAGGCATAGGGGAACTAGCTACTCCACTTGTGCCTTCTGCTCAGCCTGCTGGTGGCCCACACCAGCAGGTTATGAGCCCAACGCTTGGGCAGGGCAACAGCACCACCGAAGTGACTTCATCAGTCTCAGCGGGAGGCGCTGAGACTGATGGGCCACAAACTACGTTTGGGATTGGGGCCCCTTCTGGTTTGGAAGCTGGATCATTTGGGTCAGTTTTGGACGGTGGGGACGCGATCCGACATTCACTGGCTACGGGAAGGGCGCGTGGGGTTGCAGAGCACAACGCCCATTCGCCGAACAAGCAAGGTGGGGAACAGGATCCACCTGTTGCTGAACAGAAAACTCCGGGCGGAAGCCTAGGACCCCGAGGCCTAGGCACACCGGATGCGAAGTCGTTTTTTCCAGAGTTTGGGAGTGGATGGCCCAGACTGTCAGAGGGTTCTCCAGAGGAGTGTGGCCTTTGGTTGGGGGTAATGAGGGTTGCCCGCCGCAAGATATAGTTTAGGAGGGGCGCAAGCCGAAGTGCCGATTGCATCGCTTCCCGGGAGGGATGGCCTTCCACAGCGCGCCACTGTTGTGGCAGCGAGTCGTGCCGACTCACCAGGCGTGTGTGCAAATGTGTGCAGTGCAACGCCGGCCGGGAGGCCTGGTGCCATGCAAGGTGCCCAGGCCCAAGGTCCCAATCCAGCAGCCATGCTGGCAGGACTCTCAGGTGCACAGGTGCAAGGTGCCCAGGTCCAAGGTCCCAATCCAGCAGCCATGCTGGCAGGACGCTCAGGTGCACCTGTGCAAAGTGCCCAGGTCCAAGGTCCCAGTCCAGCAGCCAGGCTGGCAGGACTCCCAGGTGCACAGGCGCAAGGTGCCCAGGTCCAAGGTCCCAATCCAGCTGCCAAGCTGGCAGGACTCTTAGGTGCCACTCAATCTGCGTCAAACGTGCCCGTTGGTGCAACCAACGGTTTACCGCAGGTTCCATCTTTTGCAGGCTCAATGCCACTTCCACCGCAGGCCCAAACCCATATATTCCTTGCTTATAAGGGGTTCGGCTGAGTCAGACTTGTTGTCAGGTTTGGTGACTGGTATGAATGATCAGACTACGTCTTCCAGTGTTGAGGGGGCTTGGACTCAGCAGCCATGTTCACAGCACGTGCCGCCTGCGCCCACAAGGGTCGTGCGTGCATTGGGTTCACACGCGCAGCTCATTCCAGGAGGAGCGGTCGCAGGCCACACAGGTTCTCAGGTTGCTCCATCAGGGTTTCCAGCGCAGCAGCCGTTGCTAGAAGCGCTCACTCCGACAAAGAGGTTGTGAAACCTGGTTCCCCAATTCTTCCCTCGCTAGGGCCTCCAGAGCCGGCAAGCGGGTCGCTCATTTTCCAGGATTGGTTGGAGCTCCTACACAATCCAATGCGTGACCTTTCCAATTCCTCCCATGTTTGGTGGGCACATGTGTTGCAGGTAAGCAGGGAGGCGTATACCAGGTGGTGTGTTGCAGGTCCGCTGGACAGACTCAGCATTGAGCCTCAGCAACAGGGTTCGGCTTCAGGAAGGTGGATAAGGGTCAACTCGCGCGCGTGTGGCATGATACTTGAGGCTTTAGAGCCCTCAGTAAAAGCCCACATTCTTGCCCACCGCGCCACGGGAGTGGCTGCCTGCCTGCTGTTTCGCCTTTTTACAATGTATCAGCCTGGAGGTGGCGCCGAGAGGTGGCTGGTGCTAAGAAGCCTTCAAAGTCCTTGCCTGATTCGAAGCGTTCACTCAGGCGTCGTGGCTTTGAGGGATTGGGGTAGGTGGCATCGGAGATGCGTCGAGTGCGGCATGATGGTCCCCGATCCCATGATTTTGGCAAGAGCTCTTACAGAGATGACCCGTGGTGTGTTGGAGGGGCATTCTGATGCGGCGTTTCGTGTGCAATGCGCACGTGCCACGCTGCGCATCGACCAACATCCCTCGGGAGAGGAGGTCCTCACTTATCATCGTCATCTGCTGGCAGAGTTTGAAACTTTGGCGCTGGCGCAGCCAGAGGTTTCAGGTGGTAAGGTAGCCGAGGTTTCCAACTCAGGTGAGCAGGCCATGAAAGTCCTAGAGTCGCCCAAAAAGAAAAGCCGCGTTTGCCTACCAGGAAATTGTGCAAATTCTTCGTGTTGTCGCGCGGTTGCCGGAAGGGTTCACACTGTGAGTATGCTCATGATCTGAGTGTGTTTTCCGCTCAGGACAAGGCCAACAGGTGTTGGAAATGCGGTTCCAAAGAACATCACCGCAAGGACTGTCGGGCAGGAAGGGTGAACGAAACAAGCCCCCAACTCCAGCCTCAGGTTCAGGAGGAGCCGGCAGCGCAGGATGTAACCAACTCCACGCAGGCCACAGGTCCAGGAGGAGACACACGCAGGAGCGAAGTCGTTCCCAGACCCCAGTCTTCGAGGCGAGCGTGGGGGTCTGGGAAGGGGGGCAGAAGGGCCATCGTCAGGATGCTGGCCAGGTGTTGCCCAAGCTGTTTGGGGAGTTGGCGAAGGCCTGGTGCGATGCTAGCAGACGTCAGGAATCGCCTCAAACCCCATTCCTCAAATGCGCTCACTTCACGTTCATGCTCAGGCACTGGCGTTGGTAGACTCAGGTGCCACGCATGCCCTCAGACAGGCTGGCGCTCAGGAGGAATGGGATACTGCGGTTGAGGTGGATGTGAGCTTGGGTGGCAACGTGCATGCGCTCGCGCGTCTCACATGCAATGGCACTCTGCTCACACCACCCGGAAGGGAAGGAACCCAAACAATTATACCCATGGGTGCAGTGATCAGTCGCTTGGGGTTTAGGCTTAGTTGGGTGAGCGATGCCGACTGTGCAATTCACCACCCTGACGGGCAGGTCATTCCGCTTGTGATTCGCCGCGGCTGCCCGTACATGTGTAAACACGTCGCGCTTGAGTTGATTGCCCAGTTGGAGGCCGATGTGCGGCATGAGCGTGCCAACGCAGACGGAACCTCACAGGCGGGCCTGTGTGGGAGCAGCAGCGAAGCAACGTCCAGGTTGCCCCGAAATGTGGAGCCAATGAGCCGCAGGCTCAACCTGCACCCACGACATCAGCCAAGGTGCAACGCATCAAAGAGGGACAAAGCACATTCGACCAGTGTTTTTGTAGCCGCTTCAAGGTTGAGGCTGGGCTCGGGAAAGGGTTGCGGCAACATTCGTGCGACCAACAGCCCGCACGATAGCCAGTCCTTGCCAGTGTGTTTCAAGCTGAACGCGCAAGACAGCGATGACGATGGCGATGCACACCCCAATCGAGGTGACAGCACGCCTTGCGCGTACGACCTCGGTGATTGGACACACTGTTCCAGCATGCCCGCGTTGTCCAGCCGTCAATTTCTGGACCGACCACGGTTTGTTCACAGACGTGCTCGATTGACTAGACCTTGTGATGTCAACCCCGGCGTGCGTCGCAAATCGTTGTTGCCAGCATCGGACTTGGACGCTGTGTCCTAAGCCGAGCAGAATTTGGCATTTTGTCTTGCGTGAGTTTGCCAGGTTTGTTGCTTGTTGAGCTTTTGCGCAGTTCGTTGAGCCCAGCAAGACAACTCCGCCCTGACGG